AGTACGGGTTCGTGCCACCAACCGGTACTAAAGGGGTGCGCTGCCACCCGCAGTGCACAATGCTTAGTCCCACCTCGCTAGTTGAGAGGAGCTCGCACCGGTTTATAAGCCCCGCCGCGGCTACCGTGTCAAGCTCCTCTCTAAGCAGGCCTTTGCGGGCCTATTGCAAGTCTTCTGCCCTGTGGGGCCTACTGAGCCATACAGGCCTGCATCCTGGCCCAACTAGAAGTTGGGTTTCTAGTCGTATGCAGACCGTGCCGGCCCAGTAGGTGGGTTGTTTTTGCTTTATTTCAAAAAAAAAACCTTTAGTACCGGTTGGTGTTACCAACCGGTACTAAAGGTCTCCCCGCCCCCAACGTTGGCTCGTGTCACGTGGTGGCCCTTTAGTGGCGGTTCATGCTGAACCAGTACTAAAGGGGGGACCTTTAGTCTCCACCCTTTAGTGCCGGTTACAGAACCGGCATTAAAGGGCCTTACAAACCGGTAATACAGCCCGGTTCTGCACTAGTGAGTTCAAGGTGCGCACCCGTCCCCACCCTAGTGGGTGTCTGTGGGTCGTCCAACCATAAGTAATTGGTTTACCTTAACCTTATATATTGCTGATTGGTTTTGAGATAGCTTATTGTTTATGACGAACGGTGGTTTAACTTATATAACATTAATTGATCAGTGAAGGATATAGCATATATATTGCTTCTGTAAAGTCTCATCTTCCTTGATCAAAGTAATTAGTCAGACCATTCAAATACATTATTAGACAGTATATTAGACTCATATAGAAAAAATCACACTTCCCTCCTCTTTTTTTCCTCTCGAGATAAGAGAGAACAGAGAAGCATAATTATTTGGAAAAGGATGCGTTTTTGAATTGCTTTTAGATGAGGCACACTCATTTTTCAGCCTACAATACGTGTCTCCTGATAAACCGTTTGTGCGCTCGTGGCTGGGAGAAGGAACTTCAAGCCACCAGAGGGGTGGCCAGGAGAAAGGAAACAAGATGCAGCTGATGACTGGTAATATAAGTTGTGTATTTACTTTTCTACATCTGACAAATTGTACTTGACACCTTTATTTTCCTTTTCTTATTTTGCAATGAGTCTCCATATATGCTTTACCAATTACCCAACTAGCAAGAAACAAAAAGAGAGTTGGCTAGCTAGCAAGAGTTAAATTACATGTTACCACA